GACTATTACAAACAACTGCTTGCCAATAAAATAAACAATGTAGGAGAAATGGAAAAATTCTTAGGACGGTACGGTCTCCCAAGATTGAACAAGGAAGAAATAGAAAATACGAAAAGACCAATTACCAATACTGAAACTGAATCAGTAATTAAAATATTCCCAATAGACGCCAGAGCACATTATGGATAGCAAATAACTTTTAAAAAGTTCAGTCACCCTCTCCCCCCTCAAAGCCATCTGTACCAACTACAGCCACAGAGGAAAAGAAATCAGAAACAGTGAGATGGACACAGAGAGAGTGGGCATTTTTGTCATTGCAATAAAATGGAGCACTGAGGCGTGTAATAAAACAGCAGCTGCTTCTGACCAGCACCATGATCCTTCAGAGTCGCTCTGGGATTCAACAAATGCTCAGATTTGGCCTCCTTCAGAGTCCAAGTATGTGGCTTCTTAATAGTGCAATTTGAGGACTACTTGGAGTTTCTCTGGCTCCTAGAATAGTCACCTAGTCAGTTTCCATAGTTTTAAGATTCTATTGTTAAGGTTCTGTTCCTTGAGGTTATGAAGTATGGCTTGTTAGCATAATGATACTCCTGAAACCCATAAACATTAGGCCACTGTGAGACAGCCTGACAGTATTTGTTCGAGCACAAGAAATAAGTTGATTGCCATCAAACAATGCTTCTATGTGAATACCAGTAAAAGCTGTAGAATATTCTGTAAGTTACTTAGAGGCAAGGCAGTGAATGTCTCCAGTAGCACATGGTGTTCCTTCTTAGAGCAGGAGATTTGTTTTCCCTCCCCAAACAATCTGAAATAAAATCTGGAGTCATGGACACAGAGTGCTCTCTTGTTGTGGCAAATAAGTGGTTTCAGTGTGTCAACTGGGAAATTTCATAAATCTCATCAGCTTCGTCACTGTAACATTTAGTCACAGGGAGGAACACGTGAGAAGTTGGTTTGTCTGCCTGCTTTGGTTGCTGTTGCTTTGCCCAAGATTTTTATTTCACTAACCTTGGGCTCAGATCCTTTTGTCAAAGAGGAAAGAACACTCTGAATCTATTAGCTTATTAATTTGGATAAAGCACACTTTGTATATTTTGGACCCTGAGAAGAGTAGTTCTAATCACTCTCAGTTCACCACTGTACCTGGGGACAGGGTTTGTTTAGAAACCGTGGTTTTGATGTCATCTTTTCCTGCCCTTACTACATCCATTTTTATAGCTAGTAACTAATAAATTCATTTGATTTTAATATATTTTTCTTTATCTCACTTTACATTTCCCTGATGCAAATTCAAATGAATCAGTTAAAATAAAAATTATGTCTAAAAGAGAGACAAACAGAAGAGATCTGGATACTCCAAAATGGATACTCAGGCCTTTGAAACACGTAGCTGGTTCTATAGATTTGCTGAAGCAGGCTCTCAGCTGGGCAGGGTGGGGGACGCTGGCCCAAGGGGGTTGACAGACCTAAATGTCAGCGGTGCTCCCTACTACCCTGCACGACACAGTGCCCCGGAGCTCAGGGAGCATTTATATGGATTTAAAATTCTGGACTATGGCAAGGTGTTCTCATCAAATCCTTTGCTGTTATAAATGCAGCCTCCACATCTAGGGAATGAGGACCCCATATAAATGATCCCCACATCAAGGGTGAAGTCTACCTCCTCTTCTTGAAGCAGGCTGTTTCAACCCAAATAAACTCTGCGAATAAGTGGAATCCACGTCTTTTCCTGCTTATTAACTGATTTAAAAGTTTCTAAGATTCTAGTTCAGCAAATACTACCCGCTCTGGGCCAGGTCCTATGTCTGCACATGCTCTTTCACTTACTCTTTACAAATTACCTTGTAGAATAAAATACTATCATTCCTTTGACAGAGGAGGAAACAAGTATTCTAGCCACTTCACCATGCCTCACTGGGTTATGAGTGGGTTAAAAAGACCTCCTTTATTAATTCATTGTCAACAAGTAATGATTAAGGTAACCGACATACATCGTGCTAGCCACTGTGCTCAGTGTTGGGAATGCAGCAGTAAATGAGTCACTGTTTTTGCCCTTATGGGGACCTATGCCAAATGGGAAGACATGAATTTCATTTTTCATTACAAACTTGAGTTGCTGCTTTTGTTGTTTCAAATCTCTTGTATTGCTTTTACTTGGCTTTAAGAGTATACTTGCTATACGGCCCGTGCTGAGTAGAAACAGTACAAACCGGCTTAGGCAGAGCCTCTGCTCTGAACGTTTGCACTTCATGACAGACATCACAGACATGGAGATGACTGAACAAAACTGTAAGGCAACGACAAGTGTGCTCATTAACTACAACAGCTCACTAACTTAAGAATCTCAAATTTTGAAAGATAACATTCATCCAATAAGTAAAAAATAAACCTCTGTGTACCCAAAATAGAAGTCACTGAGTCTATTTACTAAAGCTCATGTACTTTATTTGCAGGGAGACAATTCAGGCCCTCACTTTCAACCATGTTACTCTTATCTCACAGAATTTTAACACAATTGGATATCTGCTTGCAGCTTACAATAAATTAAAAAAGAAACTTGCTTATCCTTGGGCATTGGATGAAAAAAAGAAGAGATTAGATTATCCCCAAAAAACTTATTAATAATTTTGCTGAAGGCTGATTTTCTCCACTGGAACTGGGAGATAGTGTGGAAAATTTATTTAAAAGAGTTTAAAACAAACACATTTGATTTGGCTTTCCTATGAAGCGTATGATTGAGTTTGTCATTTTCAAAACCACAATACCTTTTTCTGAAAGCAACTGCATCCTTTATTTACCCTTTTGCTGCATCCCCTCTCATCTCTCATTGGTTGGTGAGCATGGCTCTCATGTGTTGATAATAGCTCCTGTCAGTCATTACCTGCAGAGTTTCTGCAAACCTGAAATGAGTGGTTTTCAGTTTTGCACCCCCAGTTTCCCAGGGACATGGACTTGAGGTGAACATTAACCTAGATTTTCACCATCTTTTGGCAAAACAGTGCTTCCTGGAGGTTTGCCTAAGGTGTTTCATGTTGTCATTCACTAGACTAGGCTTCTTCAGGGAACAGCTACTCTGATAAGAAAGGACTCCTTATGAAGCAGAGGAGAACCAATGGGCACACTAAATTCAAGGACGAAATTCTAGCTATCTTGGCAGTGGGATTATGGATCTTGGCTTAAGAACTTCCATTTTTAGGTGGTATACAGGTAACTTTGTTGACTTGTGGAGAGTCTTTTTTTTTCTTCTTCTTAGGAGTATGTGACTAATTATTTCTGAAAACGAATTTATAAACTAGTATCCAGTGGTGGCTCTGTTCTTGAGGGAGAAAAAGAGGAAGTGAAAAAGGGTACCAGGAGGACTCCATTTTGATATTTTGAAGAATTGTTCTATGTCAGTCACCTAAGGAAAGGTGAATCTTTGAATCTGAGAGTGAATTATCAACTATAAGTTCCTGTTTTTCTTTGAATGATGCAGGGAAGTGTAATGTTCTTTCCACTTTTAAAAATTACATACGTGGACACAGAGTAACGCAGAATTTTGACCAAGGGTAGCAGAGTAAGACAAAATGGGGAGAGCTAGAAATACATCGCAGATCCCTTCACTCAAACATTTACATGTTCTAGTCTCATGTTTTTAGAACTCATTTTGATAAATTGCCCACTCTTCCAAGGTTAACATTTTATGGCCAAGTGACTGAGAGACATTTGTCTCCAAGTCAGGATGGTGAGAGAAGCATGGTGTGGGGGATACTGTGGGATGAGAACAAAGTAAAGAATAATAGACTTGATATCACTCTCAAAGAATCTCTATGTCTAATGAAAAACTTACATTTGACTCTTTTTCAGTGCCTGTAACTCGAAGTCAAATGTTTAAGTTTAATGTGATTGTGTATTTAAAATAATTAATAGAATTGGGGATTTATTTATTCAATGATTAAGTATCTAAGGTAAAAGTTGGCCTAAAAATGATAAACATAGACAAGACTTAACATTACAAAGTTTCTTAACTGAGTTTCTCTTTGATCATTATGTATAATCACATTTTGTATTTTCTAGAATTTTATACAGCTTGTAGATGATCCAAATATTTTTACCTTACTTTTTCCTCTCATAAGGCTCAGTTCATAAAATCACCATCAGTACCACCACCACTACCACCACCACCTTCATCATTGCCATCATTATTATTGAGAATGCTATGCTCTTGACACATATTAACTCATTGATAACTCCCAATAATCAAATGAGGTAGATATTATTGCCCTGATTTTCTTGATGAGGCAACTGAGGCACAGAAAATTAATAATCTGCCCCAATATATATACTTAGTATATATCATTGAGGATAGTCTTTTAAACATTATTCTATATTGCCTTAGGCCTGACAAGACCTTAGGGAAATTTTAATTTTAGCCTTTTATTTTGCAAAATGAGGAGCTAAGGAGCACTGAGAACTGGCTTTCCTTTGGCCAATTCTTGGCAGAACTTTGAGTGCAATTCACATTTTCTGATTTCCAGGACAGTGATCTTTCTAATATTATACTTTGCCTTTTTTTTCTAGGTAATACAATCTTCACCAGAATGTCCACTTTATAAGGGAAAAAAATGCAGAAACCAAAGCTCTTTACTCTTCCATAAGTAAAATGTTTGGTAAGGATGGAGACAGCCTATTGATCAAAATAGGATTCTTGGAATATTTTTACATATCTCCCTGGCCCTGTTAGCATGGACATTTCATGGAAGGCATAGAATATCAACCAGCTTTAGCTTTTTAGGGAAGTCATTTTACCACCAATGTCCTTAATTATGAAGGATTGTATAGGTCAGTATTCTTACTCATTCTCTTTAATATCATTCAGAAGTGCTTCAAATTGAGTTATACTGTAAAAACACATAGTATACATTTCTCATATCTAAAATGATAAAGTTAAACATCCACATTCTTGGAATAAAGTTGAACTGTACCTGGGTAACTTTGAACAGGACTTGACTTACCTTCTTCAGTTCTTGGAGATTTCATAACCATCCCAGGACTAGTTCTTTAGGCATCTGCAAGATAAGTGACTTCTTTTGAAAATGCAAAACTCATTGTTGGTTAATATCTGTTAAATACAATTAAAGATTCAAGTACACTAAAGAACATGTGGAAAACATTCTTTCTCTCCAGTAAGAGTTGACATTTTAAAAAATCTGAAAGTAAAGTTCTTCTAGTACTTTGGGGAGTGCTCTAGGGTATTTAATTGTGAAAACTATAGAACATGATTCTTATAAACTGTGTTAACTACAGAATAGAATTTCTGTATGAAACTGAATTAATTTTAATCCTTCTTTGTGGTGAGGAATTTAGATTATGAAATACCCAAAGGACTTCATTATGAGGCAGCTTCACTTACAAGCAGAGCATCAACCTACCTATTTTGCTTTTGAGCAAGATTCTAACTTATGGGTAAAATATTCCCTTGAGGTAAAGCATATGCCTTGAGAAACTGCATTAATAACTATTTGCAGTAACTATTTATGATTCTTGAGCTAACTGGGTTATTTTCCTATTGCTCACCAGACCATCTGTAAATTGGCCTGACACAGGGCTTCAAAAGAATAAATACATAGTGAAAAATTTAGAGTTAGAATTGAGGCTGTTTTCTTTTTTTTCCTTTTTTGGGGGGGAGGGGTAATTAGATTTATTTATTATTATTATTATTATTATTATTATTATTATTATTATTATTATTATTATTTTAAATGGAGGCACTGAGGACTGAACCCAAGAACTTGTGCATGCTTGGCACACACTCAACCACTGAGCTATACTCTCCTCTTCATTTTCTTGACTTAATGTGAAATCCCAGTTGTTGTTTTAACCTAATCAAGCATGTTTTCTTTTCATTGAGGTCTAAATGTTGACTGTAGGTTAATTTCAGCATATAAACTTTAACATATGGTAAACAAGTAAATATTTCTCATTTATTTTACATACATTTCCTAATGTTTGAGTATATTGCATATACTGGGTAGAAAATATGCATGTCTGTGAAACTCAGAGAAAAATTATAAAGTAATAATAAAATAATAATTAAAAATCACAAGGTAGTAATGCTATACAATCACCAGGTCTCTGACTTCTCCATTCTCCAAATACAAATAAGGTCTCAGTGACTTTAATTACATGGATAATATATTTAATGATAAATGTAATACATTATCTTGTACAATTCAAACAACACAGAGGTGAATAAAAAACGAGAGTGATTACCTACCACTACCCTGTTTTTCAAGTATCCATAGAGTGTAAAATTCCAGGCCGGGTTTCACAAACACTCCTAGATATGTGCATATACATATACATACGTAGTCTTTGTTATATAAACATTGGGACTAGATTATACTTACTGTATGGTGACATGTTTTTTAATCTTAAAACTGAACAACCATGTATAAACACGAGTTTAATTTTTTAACAACTACACATTATTCCAGGTAACTTTAAAAAGTTATGTCTTTGTTGATAGACATTGAGGTTGCCTTCAACATTTTTTCTATAAAAAAAGCGCTTCCTGTTGAAGATATCCTTATAAATTTCCATAACATTAATCACTACTATTTTAATAAGTAAAATTTATACTTGATTCAAAATTCAAAAGGTGCACATGAGCATATGATGAAAATGAAAAACCAACCTCTCTCACACTCCTATTTTTTCAAGCACTCTATCTCCTTCCTTTTCTTGTGAATGCTTCCAGAGATTTTCTGTGTGTGTGTGTGTGTGTGTGTGTGCACAAAAATTTCCCTCATATATGCTGCCATAATCTATACACCCCTCTATGCCTTGCTTTTTAACTTCATAATAGATTAGTCTATTTGAACTGCTATTTCTTTTTGTTGACTCTGAAGCATTCCCTTGTATGGATTAGTGTAATTTATTCACCTTATTAAATATTAAATAGTCCCATATTAAGTTGTACATGATTTAGGGAATTAATTGCCACATCATAGAGAAAACATAGAAACAATCTCAATATCCATCAATAGAGGAATGGTTGATATGAAATGTTATATAACAGTTAAAAATCACATGGTAAATTCTAAGAAAAGGTTTCCCAAACATATTATTATAAGAAAAATGCAAGTTGCAGGATGAAATGTATGGTGTGATTCCAGAAGTAATAAGAAATCCTCCAGAGAAAAGTACATACGGTGTATGTAACTATGTAGAAGAATGTCTGGGTAAATGCATACCTAAATATTAGGGTGCTTCTGATGAGGAGGGTGGGATCCTTTGTGGTGAGGGAAGTGGGAGGTAGGAGAGAGAGTATGGGAGATTTTCACTTTTTATTCTCTACACCTTTTGTTGTTTAAAGGTTTCTCACTAGAATGTAGTCAACACTTGTGTGACTAAAACTTAACAAAAATGACATCATGGTTATCCTTACACAGTACTCCTTACCATGAAGTTTAATGGAAGAGTTACTTCTAAAATCTCACCTAAGGTTATTTATATTTTCAGAATACAATTGGAAAACCAATTATGAGATCACAAATAATCATGGCGTATAACAAGATTGCCACAAACCACTAAATTTTGGACTGGCTTCGGCGCAGCACATGTTAAGAAAATGCCGAGGTCCTCATTAGAGCTGGTGCCAGGTTATAATGAGGTGATTTTGCTGACAAACTGCATGAGCCCCATCATACTAAATTCTGCACTGCAGCAAGTAGTGTCACATTCTGGGATGGACTTTCTTTCTCTGCTGCAATCCTACTGAACTTTTACTCTTTAACATATAAGAAAAACAGTGGCAGAATGAAACTTCCCTGGTATCATTAAAATTGTGAAACTGACTTAACAGTTGTTTGGCAAAGCCATTGCACAAGAACATCATTAATCTTTCTTGAAATTTCATGAGAAAGGGATTGATGCTCTAATATTCATGAATTTTCTGCCTCTAAGAATGGCCTTTATGGTCTATCATTTGCTTTCCTGTTTTTGACAAAGACAAGGGTCCAAAAAATATTTCTTCTTGTCTGTAGACACTACATGCATAAGCAAAGCAAGAGTGAAAGCATAATGTTAAGCAGCAGTGATATTCATCTGCAGTAGCAGGGAGGCATCAGGGAATGAAGAGGACTGTGACAAAATAGTAAGTGCATGCCCCATCCAAAGAGGCGGCTTTGTTCAGTTCTAGCTGGTTGTTATCATGTTGGAATGGAAGTCCAGTGTTCCAGGTTTTCTAATTTTTAAGGAGAAGCAAAAAGAATAAATCCTAATTTTATGTGATTTTCCCTGATTTTTACATATTGGGAAATATAAAATATAAATGCAAAATATAATATATAAAAATCACTTAGCCCTATAAAACATATGAAAGAAATTTAGCTTATGGGCCTACCACTTTGCAACTCTGGATCTATGTCATTCCTTTTGTCCTGAATGCTCTGCATCATAGGTTCCCAAACATGGCAGTGCAAAAGGATTATCTGTGGAAGTTATTAAAAATACAGGCTATCACAAAGACCCATTATCATATGATAACACTTGTATGTGATATCTTTAAAAAATGATGAATTTATTCACAAAACAGAAATAAGACTCACAGACATAGAAATCAAGCTTATGGTTACCAAAGGGGGAAAGAGGAGAGGGATAAATTAGGAATTTGGGATTAACAGATACATACTACTATATATAAAATAGATAACCAACAAAATAGATAATCATAAGGAACTATATTCAATATCTTGTAATAACCTATTTTGGAAAAGACTCTAAAAAAGAATAGATATATATGTATAAGTGAATCATTTTGTTGCACACCTGAAACCTAGTAAATCAACTATACTTCAGTTTTTAAAAAAAGAAAAAGAAGTACATAAAGCTGTAAAACTTACTGTGGTGGTTGGCAATGGTTATATCATAAAATAATGTGAAAGAGCTGAACAGTGTTTTAAAAACATACGAAGTATCAGGGTCCACTCAGTGTACTAAATTTACAACTATATTTTTAACAAGTTCCTCTATTGACTGTATACAGCTAGCCCGACAAGAGCTTCTGGATAGCAGCCCATCAGCTACAATTGGAATGGCAGATGGGATCCATCCTGAATGCAAAATGCAGTCCATTAGTGGTAGTTGCCCTGAGCACTGATTTGAGGAGGGCTGTCTGACTGCAACCAGGTTCAGTGGGGAAAGACTGGTGATCTGTTAGTGATGTCTCCCTTGGGCAAAGACAGGGATAAAGGTGATCTGTGTATAGTTTCTTTGCTGACCATCATCAATTTGTTATAATCTGTGCTTTTAAAAATAATAAATCACTCCATGTCGTGGACCCACCTACTCCTCTAGTCTCATCATCCACTCTATCCTGCCTCATATGTGAAGCTCCAATAACAATAAAGTATTTGTTGTTTCCCACATGTGTAGTTCTGGTCCACTGCTCTGTGGCTTTGCTCCTGCACTTTCCATCCCTTACCCTCTCCCTTTCTGGCCAACTCTGCTCTCTGGTTGGGGCTCAGCTTGGACATCTTCTTCCAGAGGAGGAGGTTTCTGACCTCACCTCCTTCTCCCTTTATTTCAGGAGGAATTTCCTTGTGCTTCCTTGTATGAGTGTCCTAAGAATCTCTCTATTATGGCATTTCTTTCATATTATTAAAATGATCAGTTTACACTTGCCATTTCCTCCCCAAACTTGAAGCTTTCCCATCTTGAATATTTATATGTATAAATGCACAATGCATGATCAATTAAATAACTGAACTACATCTGGTACATCTGCAGTGCTGAATTAATATTTATGAAATTGAACTTTACCATTTTTACCAGGGATAGCCTTGCAGTATATATATTTGTATTGCAGACTTATCTTTCTTGGTGAATTACAGCTTGCTTAAGGGCAAGGCACATGGAAACATAGATATTAAAAAATGCTGACGTGTAAAAGAGCCTTGGAAATTATCTTATTAATATATTTCTCTTGCAATTATATACAAGAGGAAAATGAGGTTAGGAGAGGAGGGAAGATTATGTGGTTAAGCTTAGTTTATGGAATCACACT